TATATATATACCAAGTAACATTTAATCTTTTTAATCTCTAGTTTAGAAGAAAAACTTTACAAGAAGAAGCAATAATTATGCATGATTAACATTTCGGCCTTACTTGAACGACTTCATCAATGATATTGACTTCCAAAACACCAGGTACGAAACCAGCACCTATTCCTTGGATCTTATGCGGGCCTTGATATAGATAAATACGCATGAAGCAACCAACGGTCAGCAAACCAATAGTTTTTTTGTTTATAGTAAACTCTTAGAGACGGCCAAACAATAAATTTAAGGAGAGCGGACTCATGGTGTACAATCCATAGTCATAGCCAGCGTGCGTAAGATATAGAGGAATTACTCAATGATTTACGCCAAAGGAAATGCTGTTACGGTTCACCTTATGACTAATTTTCAATCGTTTTGTAGAAAGATGCAAACTCCAAGTATATAATATGCAAGGATGACTATTTGTAACTTACCAGGCTTTCCTCCAGAGAGAACGGGACTTTCAACTGGTTCAATACCATAAAGCTATCATACACAACAAGGAAACTAGTGAGAAAGTTGATTGTATGGGGGACAAGATATTAGAAACAGATTATCTCATGCTTGACCACTATATTTGTATATCCTAATAGACCAATTCAACAGTGAAGTATTTGTACAAATAAAAGATGCCACTTACTTTTATGTTGGGGTTCTGCTCTTTCAGATATTTGCCTGCACCTGTTATGGTACCACCAGTACCTATGCCAGAAACAAGGGCATCAATTTTACCTCCCGAACCTTTCCATATCTCTGGTCCAGTAGTCTCATAGTGTATCTATACCAACAGCAGCATATGTTAATCGACTTTCCCAACCAACAATCGGATGCATTAAACTATTGTATCAGAGAAGTACCTTTGGGTTGGCAGGGTTTTCAAACTGCTGGAGCATGTAGGCATTAGGTGTCTTAGCCAATATCTCCTCTGCCTTCTGCACAGCACCTTTCATGCCCTTAGCAGGGTCCGTGAGAACCAACTCAGCCCCAAATGCTCGGAGAATGATCCTTCTCTCAACACTCATTGAAGCAGGCATTGTAATGATAAGCCTGTATCTCTTGGCAGCAGCGATAAATGCTAGCCCTATCCCAGTGTTTCCACTTGTAGGTTCAATGAGGACACTCTTCAGCCACCATTCATGAAATAAAGTTAGATCACAAAATGAGAGGGCATTTTAGTTGAAGCATTCTGCCTTCAGGAACAAACTCATATAACATTTGTTTAATTTAAAGAATAATCAACCATCCCACAGGCAATTAAGGCCAATTATGATTAACAATGCTTATATTTCTTAAAAGTAATTAACTCAAAGGCTAAATTTCCTATTAGTTCACAAGAAAAGGTACTAACCTTTCCCGGGGTAATAAGACCCTTTGCCTCAGCATCAGTGATCATGGAATAACCAATCCTGCACCATCAGAAAACAACTGTTAAGTTTTTGCAACAATTAACAAAACACAGAAATTTAGATATGAATATGAAGTATATCGGGGGAACTCAGATAGCTCGACATGACAAGCACAATAACCTTAGAAGCAATGAACCAAAAGGAATCTTTAAAGAGGTACCTGTCTTTGACACTAGAACAGGGTTCCATTATCTCAAGCTTAGCAGCAATGCGAGCAACACAACCATCCACCACATTGTTCAGATATACCAATGGAGTTTTACCAATCAACTTTACACACAATATTTAAACCAAAAGAAAAATGGACAACAGTAAATCAATCACTCGTATTAAAAGAAAACACCCAAATCAAAAAAACGCCCCCTCCCAAGCAAAGAAAAGAGAAAAAAAAGCTTACCTCAGTGACATCTTTGGCAATCCCAACACTCTCATGCGTCATCTTCCAGATAACTGACATGAAGAAAAACCCGCCACATAAAATAAATTAAAAAGTTCCTCTTGTGCAGATTTCAAAGAGTAAAGGCTATGAGTAAAATTGCATTTTTATTAAACAAAAATGTGAGAAAAAATAAATATATTTTGATTTTTCCTTTCCGTCACTCAATTTTATTGGCATCCGAACAGAGAATTTTTTATCTATGAGAACAAACCCAATCAACCTTTAATAATTCCCCTTCGAGATCCGCAAAAATAAGAGTATGAAAAATGGATTTTGATGAAATGGGAATGTGATTAACAGTTAACAAACAGATTATTAGGGGAAAGAAATCACCTTTGACAATCGACTTAGTCGCTGTAGAATGGAAACTAAAATGGGTTCTATGTAGGGAATAGAAGTCACAATAATTACATAAAAAATATGTTCAATGCATTTGAAGTTTTCATCGAATAACAAAACGGAGTGCCGTTGGTGTCAGAATCAGCTGCTGAGAATGCGTCCAAGCTATAAAGATGAGATGGGGAATGGAGTGCTTTTGAATCTAACCTGTTTTAAGGATCGATTCACTGTGAAGTTAAATGCAACCAATTTTGGAAAATGACTCTTTTTGGTTATATAATTAATCTTTTCTTATATTTTCTAGAACCAATTTATACGTTGGAATATCGAGATTTATGTGCAAAAGGATCTTCCCTTGATTTCACTTCATTGACTTTACGTATCATCCAACCTTTACAAGTACTTAACACTTGCAAAAGCATCCGAGGTGGCCTCAACGAGGGAAAATAATTGGGCAAAAGCCTTATCCTCTCTACAACCACAAATTCCTTCCCTACGCTCAAAAGAGCTTCTGCTCGTTGTCCTTACCAGAAAAGAACAATGGCAACCCTTCATTTCATTCCATCTCCTTCCTTCATTCTCAACAAACCAAGACCCACCACACTTTCTACCTCCCAGTTCAACCCCAGAGCCCGCCATGGCTCCTTCAGATTCTCAACTGTCATTGCAAGGTCTTACAAAGTGGTGATAGAGCATGAGGGTCAATCCACAGAGCTAGAGGTAGAGCCCGATGAAACCATTCTATCCAAGGTATTGGACTCTGGCTTGTTTGTGCCACATGACTGTAAGCTCGGGGTGTGCATGACTTGCCCTGCTAAGCTCTTAAGCGGCGAGGTGGATCAGAGTGATGGTATGCTTAGTGATGATGTTATGGAGCGTGGATTTGCACTGCTGTGTGCAGCTTATCCAAGATCAGATTGCCATATCAAGACAATTCCTGAGGAAGAACTGCTGTCATTGCAGTTAGCAACAGCTAATGATTGAATTGTTGGTTGTGCTTGCTTTTCGGTCACTGAAAGGTTTGTGTACGTTCGAGACTATCCTTGTCCTTGAATGAGTTGGTGTTAGCTTATTGGATACTTTTAGAGGTAAAATTCGATTGGAAATTTATGTTTGTCGGTCCCTAATCATGACAAGACAATACTAGGATTATCTCATCAACTAGCGTTGTAATATGCCTTGAAAAATATTAATTTGCATCCTTCACTCATCGTCCATTCAATTTCATTAAAATGATTATAACCGAGATTATTGAGAAGGAGGTGAATGATCCCCAATTAATCCTTCATTGTTGGATTCTTTATGCATATAACAAGTGCAGTGCATTGAGATACAATCTGATGATATTTCAGCACTAAGTATTATTCAAATCTAAAGTATTAGATGGTATTAGACAGAAAAAAAAAAGATAAGATTGTACAGAATTCTACTTTGGCAACAAAGTTGCAGTCCCCAACATCTTGGAAAACTGAATTAGAAACCTTTGGAAGAAGCAGCTGATACATCAACTAACCCGCAAATAACCAAACATGTGAGAAGCCAGGCAGGTTTTTTACTTTTACACCTACTTTGCAATCCAGAAGACACAGGAGGAAACACCCATTTCATTACAATATGAGTATCAATGATCGCTTCTTTTTGTCGGCAGAAATCTATTAGAAGTTACTGCTACCCCGAAGAGAAAGAACAAGCAACCGCTTGCTATGATCTGACATTGCAGCATCATGGCAGTGATTTCATACAATCATTGTAACAGTTTAGAATGTAGTCAAGATATAATCAAGTGGACTTGATAAGAGAACCAAGACAACCGAATAGACGGTTTTAAGTTGTAGATGCCTCCGCTGCTCTTTTGGTTCTTCTTTGTTTAAGCTTAACCTTCACATTTACACCGTTATCAATTATAGACTGAAGAACAATCTTAAGCTTCCCCTCTAATCTGTCCCCTTTCCTTGGTGTGTAAATCACATCATGGATATCATCGTCCAATGCCCTCTGAGCTAAAATTTCTCCAACGGCAGCACAAGCAGATGCATTTCTGGTCGAACCTAAATCAAATTTCATATCCTTAGAAATAGAATGCGCTACAGCAACAACCTTGCTAGTCGCCCGGTGGATGATGCAGGCACGAACAGATGCTTTTGATATATAAATGTCCAGGCAAAAGGGTTCATGGTAAGGACCCGTAAGTTGATTAAAAGTGGGAGGCCTAACCTTCTTTTTCTCAACAGAGCAACCCTCCACTTTGTCAACAATATTAATAACACTTCTATTTCTAACAACTTCAAGCGTTTTAACATTGGACTTGTCATTCCTTTTGCTTTCTTTAGGATCATCCTTCTTCTTTAAAGACTCCTTTTCGCTTTCTTTACAATCACCCTTATTATTGGAACCTTTCTTCCTGTGAAAGTCATAAGCATACTCCTCGAACTCTTTGGAACCACGGTCAATTTTATAAAAAAGGTTACCC